TAGACCCTCCTAGAGGATCCATACGTCTCGGTCATCGGCCTCCTTCTCGATCTCTGGGTGCTCGTCTCGTTGTTCCGTCCGTGTCTGGGCTTGACGGTCCTCACCAGAGCCCGCAGCATGGGAACGGCGGCAGCCATGATGGTCACTGCTGCTTCGGCATTGCCCCAAATGACCAGCGTCACACCGTCATCTGTTTTTACCCCCTATTGTTCAGCACATGCCCCATCAAAATTAAAGGAAAAAGGGGGAGTTGGATTTAAAAAGGATGGTTGGAGAAAGAAAAAAAAAAAAAAAAAAAAAAAAAAAACCACTCACGAGGAAAATCCCTCCCGCCTAGCTCAGGCAGGGACGAACACTTGATAAAGGCCGAACCGGCAGCGAAGACGCCCATGCTCATGGCCAGTGCCACGCCGATCTTTTCCTTGGTCTGCATCTGAAGGTTCATGATTATCTTCCAGGGTATGATTGCAAGAATCAGGTCCATGACTCCCGAATAAGCTGTTATTGTTTTTAAAACTCGTTTCATTAGTTAAAAATCTTTTTAATTTTTTCATTTTTTCCCTTTTCATTATTTTTTTTTTAGTGGGAGGGGTTCCCATTGATTACCGTATTTTTGTCTCTTAGAGAAGTGAGGTAGGAGTGTGTTGTTGAAACTTACCGCTGGTAAAGATGCCATAGGTGATGACAATGTTTACGCTCCAGCAGGTCCCCCTCATGAAGGGGTGCCACGCCTTCTCCAGGGGCGTGCAGCCGACCCAGAACATCATGGCCGAGATGCCCGACAGCAGGTTCATGGAGACGATGGCGAACCAGATGAATATCCTCGTCTTGCCGCGGAGGGCCCGGTCCGAGATCATGAGGAGGGATATGGCGAACGACGTCTTGCTCCACGCCTGGCTGCAGATGGCCAGCGTGACGCAGATCTGGCCGATGAGGAAGAGGTCGTTTAGGTTCTCAAAGGGTATCTGCCAGACGTGCTTGCCGACCCCGCGGTCGATGGCCAGGTCGTTGCAGATTGAGGAACCCAGGAGTGCGGTCTGGGAGTTTTTTCAGTTTAGTTTCTCGTCTGAAATTTTTGTTTTGGTGATATTGGATAATTATATTGGGATAAATCAAAAGAAGAAAGGGGGGGGGGAGGTATTGTTAATCATAGATATGAGAAGAAGAGGAGAAGAAAAAAACACACCCAAGCAGCTATGGAAAAGTAGTCGTCGGCGTGGAGTCGTCGATATCGGATGAGCTTGCAATATACTCGCAAGGCGAGAAATATGAGGGAAGCGCCGGTGAGGATCCACACCGATATTCTCGTCGTCGGACCGAGGTCGTCATATTGTGCTCGGCTGCCGGCACCGCCGCCGAAACCTCCGTTGAAGAATCCGGGAAACCCTCCACCGCCGCGACCTGTCGTTGAGTTCAAGCGCCTGTTCGGGTCGGGGAAGTTGACGTTGTTGTTCATTTTTATTTTCACTGAGAAAAATACCCCTTACCCTACCCTGTGTGTTTGAATGGTATCTCAGACCCGGCCGGCCGTGTCTTTCTTTCTTCACCGGATTATGATTGCGATGTGGCCACCACCATAATACGCGGCATTAGATTTAACTTTGGATACCTAGAATATTGATATTTGAAATTTGGATAATAATATTTTTTTGGGGAGGGCGAGTTTAGCTTTGCTTTCCTTTCGGAAAGGTCAAGGACAGGAGGAAATGGAAAAGACAACAGACAGTTTGGAAAAACAAAACGGGGATGGGGAATAATCATTGAAAGATGAGGGAACTGGCAGGTGAGATCCCATGTCAGCAATCAAGGTCATGATATAATTCACAGCGCATATAGTTTTTTGTTCGACAAAGTAGTAACAGTTCATGGAGTCTGACGATCAAGTATCAGACTTGAGAAGGGAACATCCGAGCGCAACCCAGAGGTTTCTCTGACTTTGACAAGCATTTCGGTAGTTGAAAAGCTTTGCGGAGTAAGGACGTCGATCTCACAAATCCCCCCCCCCCCTTGAAAAGTCAATGCGCATGCGGAAGAATAAAAAAAAAATGTTCTGTTTTCGACCGGCGACAAGACCGTTAAGCATAAACGGCCAAGAAACATTTGGATAGGTAAATGGAGAAACCCGGAGTCCAAAAAAAAGGGGAAGAGAGTGTCTAATTCATGGGGCTCGCTGACATTTCCATTTTTGGAATTGAGACGTTTGAGCTGGACCCTCGCGCACTCCCAAGATAGGACATGACGATCAAACAAAGTGCAGGGGTCAACATCTTTTTTTTTTTCCTTTTGGGGAAACCTTCCAGAAGGATTTTTGGAGAGTTGGTAATTGGAAAACATATTGAAGGGCCGGGAACTTGATCTATCTCCGGTCTCTTGGATCCAAATCCGGAAGCACTCAGTGTAATACGGAAAAGGATAAAACAAGACAAAGGCAGGTCACACCGGATTCGATGATTTCTTTGTCCAAATTCTTATCTCTCGCCGGGAAATGTGTCTCGCCCATCTAATATTTGAAAGTATGGAGGATAATAAACAATCAAAGTATTTTGAGAATGCTCTCGACTCGGCCTTCACGCAAAGATTTGCATGATAATACCCCAGCGGACCGAGAAACATTATAACGTTGACATCGCTTGTGGAAGAAAACCATCGCCTTGGCCGCCATGTCCTATTCCGACTCCGAAGAAGATGGCAGGTCCCATCACAATGAAAGGGAACTTGAAGACCCGGAATTAGCCGCACTGCGCTACGACAGTAACATTATTGATTACCCAGTGCATTTCTGGAACCACATGACAATAGTCCTTCACCCAGCCCGAAGCCGAGAGATACAGCAGAGGGAGGAGGCGCGAGCAAAGGATGTCAACCACCCTTCTATAAAATACATCGAGGACCGAAGCCGGGGGTTTCTGTTTATTGCTTGGTTCAAACGAACAAGCGCCGAGGATGCAGAAAGACACGGCGACGTGCCCCCCGGCAGCGTTGGGCTGTTTGCAACCGTCGACCACCCGCACGAGCTGGTCGTGATCAAAAGAATACTCGGGCATGTACAGCACACGCTGAGATACTCTGCCGACGACAGGAGTCCGGCCGAGATCATGTTCTGCACGGTTAGGGATCCTCACTTTACGGGGGGACACCCCCACGGACAGAGGCTTTGCACGAACCGTAAGTCATAAAGTGGATGATGCCGCGCCGTGAAATTCGACTGATAAGTACCTGACTGAATTTTTAATTTATTCCCAACTCAATTCAGCTCCCATCTTCGTCCAGACGTACGCCTACCAGGTCCACCAGAACGATCCGCCCAACGAAACAAAGGTCACCATCTACCAGAAATACTACAACGGCGGGACCCTCTTCGAGTTTGTCGAGCTGGCCAAGAAACGCCAGCGGCCGATCCCCGAGGCCTTCATCTGGCACGTAATCGCGCAGGTAGGGCGCGCCCTGTCGTGGCTGCACACGGGGGACCTGAACCTGCGGGCCTTCAACGTGCAAAACTACCCCAGGCACAGGAATCACGCCGGCCACCAGATCAACACGAAGTCGACCGCCGACGGGTGGGATCCCATCGTGCACGCCGACGTGAACCTGAGCAACATATATCTGCACTACCCGACGGACCAGGAGAGGGTCGGGGACGAGGAGCTCCAGCTGTACGGCGACGAGCTGCCGATGGTGGTGCTCGGGGACTTTGGGCTCGCCTTTCGCGAGAGCAAGGCCCGGCAGTACAGCGGCGAGGGGGAGGAGGACCTGCTCTGCCACCGCTCCAAGCCGGACATGCCGGAGCGCGCGACGTGGCGAGACAAGGCGCTCTTCGGCTGCGTCATCAAGCACCTGGTCCTGGCGGCCAACCAGAGCGTCACGCTCAGCAGGCAGCACGACGACGCGCTCAAGGACTTTGGGGGCATCGACCTCGGCGAGCCCAACGGCGACCACGGGACCGGCGTGTACTCGCCGCACCTGCTGGCCTGCGTCGCCGCCTTCGAGCCGCTCGTCGCGCTCCTCACCGAGCACCCGACCCTCGTGGACCTCGGCTCGTTCTGGCAGCGCATCAAGACGACCACGCGGAGGGACTGGGACACCTGGCCGACCAACGACTTCGTCTACGGCACGCTGGTGAGCCGGGCCGACTTTTACGTTGACGTCAAGCAGACCCCGCGCGAAGACAAGAGCGCGATCGAGGACGAATTTTTTCCCCTGGGCGTCGCGATTGACCGCGAAGCCGAGGCGGCGATCTTCGGCACGCCCTCGGAGCCCCTGCGGGACGACTACAAGCCCGTCGAGAGCGTGGTCCCCGTGCGCTCCCGGGCGCGCTGGCCGCCCCTGACTCGGCCCGACTGGAACGACGTCTGGAAGCACCTCGACAGCATCGTCCAGACCGAGTTCGCCGACTGGACCTACCCGGACCGCGCGCCTTACGAGGCCCGACCGGTCGAGATCATGAAGGTCTGGCCCGAGGGGGACCCGGACGGAGACGACAGCGACGACGACTACGGGCCGAGCCTGCCGGAGTTCCGGCCCCAGGGGGACGACTGGCCGCTGCTCAGGCTGAGGCGGCAGATTGAGGCCGAGAAGGCCGAGCGGGCCAGGATCGCGAGGGCGCAAAGATCAAACACCAACCTGTCCGATGCGGGAGAGGACGAGGAGCCCGAGTATCAGGGCGATCCGGGCGACGAGGGCCTGCCGGACTACGAGGAATTTTTGGAATACGAAACACTCTAGATGTCTTGATTGGAGCGTAGCACTATTATATAGGTACATACATACATGCCTATTGTTGCCAGGCCGCTACCATCCTCGTACGAAGGAAGGTCTTTAGAGTACAGAGAAATGGGAAGGAAGGAAGTGAGTAACATCCTGGGAGGTTTAAATGAGAATAGGGGTCAGAGTGGACTTTATTATTTATTATTTATTATTATTGTCTTTTGTCTTATTCTCATTGATTTTCAACGTTAGGGATCGCAAAACATGACAGCTAAAAATGTCCAAAAGTGAAAGGATGCCTACTACAGGAATCGAACCTGTGATCTTTGCATGTCTAAAAGTCCATTTCTGGATACAAGTGCAACGCATTAGCCACTATGCTAAGCAGGCTTTGACGTGTGTGTTTACTTGTTGAGTGCAGGGGGCAGAGGCCGTGGTTATGGCTTCCGACGAACTCGGCGGCAGTAAATATTCACACAGGGAATGATCCAGCATGGAGGGAGGGTAAACGCGGTAATAACCACAGGTCCATTGAGGACATTGATGACAAGATACTCAACCACCTGCCGGAGATTTATGCCCAAAAAATAATAACAACAATAAAGCCATGAATCATGATAGTAGTACATGGTAGGTAGATACCAATGTTAAAACCAAGTAAGCCCATGCCCCCCCCTACACTTCTTCTCAACAAATGTAAGGTACCTGAAAGCCAAACAGAAATATGTTTTTTATTATATCCCCCCCCCTACAGCTTGGATTTCTCCCGAACGCCTTGCCTTTCTTTGTCCCCTTCCTTCACGACCTCCCAGAACCGATCGTAGGCATCCTTCTCGGCGTCGAAGCTCAGCAGCCACGGCTCCCTGACAAGGTGAATCATCTCGGGCGTCTTCCAGACCTGGTTCCAGTCGGCCTTGTGCCACCGCTCCCTCGTCTTGGGCCCCATCGCCTGCGCCTTGTGCACCCTCTCGTACCGCAGCTTCTCGTACGCCCTCAGCGCCCGGGGGATGTCCTCCTTCCCGCTCAGCTCCAGGCAGGTGGCCAGCGCGACGCCGTCCTCGATGCTCTGGCTGGCACCCTGAATCGACGTCGGGAGGAACGGGTGCGCGGCGTCGCCGATCAGCGCGATCCTGGCCCTGGGCGAGATAAACGTCGGCAGGGGGTCGCGGTACACGAGCTTGTGATCGATCAGCCTGCCGTCGGGGGTGGCCTTGACGAGCTCGTGGACGACGTCGCACCATCCGTCGAGGTATTTCAGCGCCTCCTCGGGCTTTCCGGGAAACTGCCACGACTCCTCAATGTTGCCGTCGTCGATGTGGGTGAAGACCCAGTTGACCTCGGTCCCGTTCTTGATGGACGAGGCGAGGAAGTGAATGTCCGGGCCGATGAACCCCTGGTGCGTGTCCCCGTTCTCGACCAGGTGCTTGACGACGGGGTTGTTCCTGATCCGGTCGGCCGGGAACCAGGCCCGGTAGACGGCGTACCCGGAGCTCTTTGGGTTCTCGTCGAACCCGAGCACGATCTTCCTGCCCCTCGACCGGACGCCCTCGGCGGCGATGACGACGTCGGCCGTGACCCGCTCGCCGTCGACGACCACGCCGGCCTGCGGGACGGGCTCGTCGTCCTCAAAGTAGTCGGTGACGCGCTTGCCCAGCCTGATGTCGATGCCGCGGGCGACGGCGTGCCGGTAGATGATGTTGTGCAGCTGGCCGCGGTGGGCGTTTATCCGCCTCCCCCACTTCTTCTCGTGCGCGAAGCTCTGGCGCGTGACGAACTTGCCCTGGTGGTGGTAGAGGTCCAGCCAGGTGGTCTGGCGGGCGATGGCCTCCATCTGGTCGACGACGCCCGGCCAGCGCTCAAATGCCTTGGACCCGTTGGGGTCGAACGAGATGATGTCGCCTATGCGCACGAGCTCCTCGATGTCGTCCGACTTTTCGTACAGCGTGACCGAGTGACCCTTTCTGTCGCACTCGATGGCCGCCGAGAGGCCCGCGAACCCCGCGCCGACGATTATGACGCGGATTCCCGAGGGCGGGAGGCGTGGGAAGTTGTTTGCCATTTTTTGGACTCTGGAACAAAATTAATAGGAGGAGAAAGGGTTTGGCGTTGAGGGTAGAGCTGACGAAGAAATGTGTGATGGTGAATGCGCGCGGGGATTGGAGTGAATAAGATGTTGTTGTGTAGAAGGCGGGGGGTTATTGAAAAGGAGAAAGAAAAGAAGAAAAAATAATAAAAACTGTCGAGATAAAAAAAAAAAAAAAAAAGGTCCAAGACCTTTCCACGACCGACCGGCCGGTGCCTTCTTTTACATCCCGACCCAACTGCATCTTGACCCCCGCACTCAGTACCGCACCGATCACGCTTGTTCCATTCAGTCGGGATTAAAAAACAGTCACGGTTCACCTGCAAAGCTGCAGTGGATGAGTAAAACAGCCACGTTTTTTCCCCCAACACACAGGCTGAACTGCCGGCAACCTCCCCGCTTTTTTTTTTTGGTTCTCTCTCTTTTGCCTTTCATCAGACCTTTCCTATTTCTATTATTCCAAAAGCGAAAAAGCCTAAGAATGTCAGGTTCCGACTCGGAGCTTGGCTACATTAGTAACCTATAAGCAAAGAACCAGACTTTTTGGAGAGTCACAACGAAGCCAAGCAAAGCAAGCCCGCGCGGGACGGGATGATATAAGTATTTTTGGGGGATATTATTGGTCAATTCCTGACGCTGAGGGGAAGAACTCACCCGCTTTTTTTTTTTTTTTTTTTTTTTTTTTTTACCCTTCTGAATTGAAAGGTGACATTTTTGGTCTTGCGGTTCAAGAAGAATGCGGGGAATTCAAGAAAGGCGGATTGATTGGATTGCTGTGCCGCGTTGGTGCTTGTTGAATGCGAGGAAAAGTACCTTGCCTTAGGTAGGGTATATACATCCCTACGTACATAAATCTACTGACATGATGGTTCGATGGCGTTTTTGTGGCTGCGGATATAAATCTGAAAGATACCTACCTACCTACCTACCCATCCACCTACCTTGTTCATGTTCTAGAAGGCATAAAAGGTGCGACAATGCCTGATATTTTGGCTGAGGGTGTTGAGGATGCAATTTTGGTCAAAAGAAACCCATGAACACGGACCTCGAATTAATTCCGCATTGGCCGGGACTATCTTCCTTACTGTTTGAATTCCATCTTCTCTCCTACCCTTTGGGGTTGGTTGATTTTTTAACAATTGTTTTTAATACATAGTCAGTCACCACCGGGATCAAGAAGTCAGAAGATGTTTGTGTTTGTCCCCATATAAAAGGCTTCAATTTATACTGCACACTATTTCTGCATGCAAACTAAGTATGTACATGAACTGTTTCCGTCCCCTAGTGCTTGTTGTTGTTGATGTTGTTGTGATGTCTTGTCGTCACGAGTGACGTCCATCACTATTGTCCTCCCCCTCTTGTCATGGTCACTACCACCTAGTCCCCCTCCTCATATTCCCCTTCAGCAGGCTTAGAGGCTTACAGGCACTGAGAGTACCACTGGTTGGAAGCCTTGCAGGTCGAGCCGGACTGGCAGCAGGTAGGGCCGGTGAAGCCCTGTCCACCGCATTGACCCCACTTGGCAGCGCAGTTGCTGCCGCCGTCGCCGCCAGAAGGGGGGTTGGAAGGGTTAGTAGTAGGAGGGGTGGTGCCGCTGCCGCCACCGCTGGACGAGCCGCCGACGTTGATGGTCGAGCTGCCGCTGGAGAAGTATCCCTCGGTGGCAACGATCTGGTAGTTGTGGGTTCCGAGCCTGAGGCCGGCAGCGGCCCAGGCGTTGAAGTGGTTGGCCATGTTGACCGAGCCGCCGGTGCGCTTGCTCTCGCGGACGCTCCAGTACTGGTCAAAGGTGGCCGTGCCGTCGATCGAGGGCTGGTTGACACGGGTGGTCTTGTAGATGCCGTAGGTCGAGCCGTCGGTGGTGACGGAGCCCAGCCTCTGGGCGCCCGTGGAGGGGTTGTAGGTGCCAAAGTTCTCGACGACGTAGTACTCGACGAGAGGGTTCCTGGTCCAGCCGTAGACGGCAAGGTAGGAGTTGCCGTTGGGTTGGTAGGTACCCGTGTAGTTGATGGTTCTGTGATGGAGCGTGTCAGTCGGTTGAGGATCACCGGACTCCCCGGAGTAGATCATATCGAGACATACCTGGCGCTGCCCGGGTTCCATCCCTTGCCGCCGACCCAGTTTCCGTTGCCGGACCAGGTGGCGCTGTATTGACCGCCAGCCTCGTTGGTGTAGCGAATGCTTCCCTGGCCGTCGGTCCAGAACGAGTAGTAGTAGCCGTTGTGAGTGCCCGTTGAGCTCTGGGTCAAGGTCTGACGCCTTTCAATGCCGGGCATCTCGCCGGGGGCGGCGAAGGCCCCGACGGCGCTGGAAGCAGCAAGGAGAATGGAGGTGAAGGTAACCATTTTGGACTGTCGAAGGGTTGGATCTGTAAGACTGGCCTGGGGGAGAAACCAAACTGGAAGACTGATTTCTCGAGACTCGGTCCATGTTTTATATATGAAAATTTCTGATGGCTTTCCTTTTCTCCGGAGCTGGATTCTAGATGGCTATTCTTGGCTTAGTTTCTAATGCCTTCTTCGGACATGTCTCTCCTGGTCGTTAATGCAACCCCCTTGGTGGACTCCGAGTCGTGGGTGGGTTCAACCTTGATCCATGCCCCGGATTTTCGCCCCTGTCATCTGTGGACTGTAGCATTGTCGGTTCTGCAATTTTTTTGCCGCACAAAAACTTGAAGAAAACAGGGAGCATGCACAAGAGATAGTAAGTGCTGGCTTGATGTTTCGAGGAAATTGGTGCCACTTTTTCGGCGGTCCCGTGGAGATCTGAAACAGCCCACCAACCCGCTGGTTCGATGTTTGGTGGACACCTTCTTTCATTGAGGACTCGGATTCCATCATGAGTGAATACCCTCATCAATGAGTACTTCCAGTGTACTGCCCGGGGGCCATTGTGGTGACAGCTTCTCCACGGTTAACTGGCAGTTTCTTGGCTACCCCGGAATCCAGCGCCGTGCTGGATCGGGTACGTACTAGTGTAGACTCTAGAACGGTCAGGTGCTAGAGCTCGGAAATATGAAGCTGTGGCGCCAAGATGTAACGTACTGTACATACCTCGATCCGGTCAGTGCTACCTTGTCACAGCACATGGCACTCTCTGATTGAGAGCGAGCCGCGCGTATTGGGCTGCACACCTACCATCATGACGTGGTTTCTCGTCGTCAATCTTTCTGTTAACGGTGCGGCGCTGAGCTTCCGGTACTTGCATGGTCGGGAAACCCGGTTTGGCATTGACGGCGGCGCGGATCAGCAAATGAAAAGGGGCCATCAGCCTTGTCGAAAACACATGCGCCCAAGCCGGGTAGGTG